ATCTTACATATTTTAAATTCATGAGTGTTAGCTGTACAATATTGACAATTAAGTGCATACATTAATCCCCTTCCCCTTTCATAATATAGAATGTTTCCATCTCTTCAGAAAGTTTCTCATTCCCCTTTCCAGTCGGTACTCCCATCTTGAGACAGCACTATTTAATTTTTTTCACCTTATGTTTGTTATACAAGTGGGGTCGGTGCTATCAGTGGGTGGGAGTGGTGGTTGCTGCCCCGATCACCCCTCAGGAGCAGAGGAAGGTAGAGAAGCCCTCCAGGGCGATCAGAGCCAGCAGCCGCTGCTCGCACCCGCTGTTGGTACTGAGTGATCAGGACCGGTACGGGGCACTGCGGCACATGGGAGCAAAGAATTTTCAGTAACCACCAGAGGCTCACCCCGATGACAGAGACCAGCACTCCACCTTGGTCTGCAGCTTCCACTCACCTGCTCCACCATCCCTCTGTGGCAAAGCCTTCCATGTTCTGCACACGCCCCCTGGTGGTGATCGGTTGTTCGGTTGTTCAGTTGTTCCGGTCTATTTATATATTACCCTTTTATTACATAGGATTATATCAATTATGTAGAATACTATATTATACTTGTTACAAGTGAGAAAATGAATGTGAAATGCTTTTAGCACATAATAAATGTCAACTGTTACCTTAACCAGAAAGGTTAATATACAGAAAAAGGTACTTACGATAAGCTAAGAACCCTGCTACAGGTCCATTTTACAAATATTTAAGTTTATATTGAGTTTGAATGCTGACTCTTGTTGACCGAAGACAAATTGTGATTTTCATCTTAATAGAGAGTAGAAGTAATATGGTTCTAAGGTGTGTATGTGTGTGTGTGTGTGTTTCAGCTTCTGTAAAATTTTCTTTAGTAAAATTTCTTCTAGTAATTTTTGAAGCAACATAATATGTAAAACAAAATTAGAGTTCTTTAGCTGAAGAGAACAAAGGATGTCATTAATCTGAAATACTGCCATAGAACCCATGAGATATGAAGTGCAGTTAACTAACCACTTAACTAGAAGATCCCCTAAAGTTTCATTCAACTTTTGAAAACTTTAATTTTAATTGTCTTTTATTTGTTTTAAAGTTATGGAAAGTTTTTCATATATTCTGCATGAGAATCCAGAATATATGAGAAATCAATGAGAACTATCATCAATATGGCATAGTGGTTAAGAGTGCAGGCTTTGGAATTTTAGGGTCTGGATACTCCCAGTACTGCTATTCATTAAATATATGATCTCTAGATCCTTAATCTCTCTTAGTTTACCTGTAAAAGGGGGATACAAATAATAAGTATATCACCGGATAATTATGAAGATTAAGTGAGATGTGGAAAATGAAATACTTAGCATATCTTGATTATAGGTCCAAAAAATGAATATTTATAGAAAAAAATGCATGTAGTTGCATAAGAATTCTGCTAAAAAATACATTTTACAAACATTTGTTATTAATTTTCCTTTGTTACCCTTCAAGTTATGTTAATATAAACAAAATTGATATGCAAATTTATAATTTTCATGGTACTGCCATAAAGTTTGTGACTATGTTTCTATTGTAATCTCTTCTGTTTTATCTGACCTTTGATTTTGTGTGATTTACACATTAAAAAGTATGTTCACTTCTTAATTAAAAAGTACAATATCTTATCTATAATTCAGAAATAGTATTTGTTGCATTGGTGAAAAAAAATTATAACTAAAATTTTTTTTTTATTAGGTAGCCAAACTTTCAAAATTTTTGTTAAGAAACGATTTCTCTAGATTTCTTGCTGTTTTTAACTTAATATAAGGATGTGACATGAATTTTAGAAAAGGGCCTTTTTTTTAGTAAAACTCATTTCACAGATAGCTGACTAGCAAGCCTTTAAAGGATCAAAGGTTTATTTCATTTTAATTAAGCCTACCAAACCGACAGGCTCCTAATGTTTATAACTAAGCACTTGCATTTGCCAAATTGGGCAAGAAACTTTATGAGAACAAATTTTATAATATAATGCATTATTATGCTTTCAATTTTAGTTCAGCTCAGCTGAAAACCAACTTTTCATAAAATTTGCCAACATTTCCTTTTTTGGTCTTACTCATTTAATGGTATAATAAAGAACATTTTTGTTAAAGTTATGAAAAGCAGAAAATTTGTCTCAAATCAACAGATTGAGATCAGTGTCTATTAAATATGGAATAAAAATTATATATTAATTAAAATCACTTACTCATTGCAAAAAACATGGGGATTTTGAGGGTAATTAATAAGAATTCCAACCTTTTTCAACTTTAAATATTTTTAAAGTTATATTGTTCTTTTTATGTAGATTATAAATGGCTCATATATATGTATCTACATATATATTTAACTTGAAATAGAAACTAATCACTTAATATTTATGCTTACCTAATATAAAATCTATACTAATAAAAGGGTAATATGCTAATTAGACCGGATGGACCAGACGTCTTCTGGGTGTCCTTCCAGACATCTTTCTGTACAAAGCCATGGTGGTGGGGCCAAGGCAAAGGCAGTTAGGGGTGATCAGGCAGGCAGGAAGAGTGGTTAGGGGCTATCAGACTGGCACGGGGGAGTAATTGGGGCAATCAGGCTGGCAGAGGAGAGCGGTTAGGGGCAATCAAGCCAGCAGGGGAGCGTGGTTAGGGACATCAGGCAGGCAGGCAGAGGCGGTTAGGGGCGATCAGGCAGGCAGGCAGAGGTGGTTAGGGGTGATCAGGTCGGCAGAGTAGAGCAGTTAGTGGTGATCAGGCTGGCAGGGGAGCAGTTAGGGGCATCAGGCAGGCAGGCAGAGGCATTTAGGGGTGATCAGGCAGAGGCCGTTAGATGCGATCAGGCAGGCAGGCAGAGGGGTTAGGGGCAGTGAGGCAGGTAGGCAGAGTGGTTAGGGGTAATCAGACAGGCAGGCAGGTGAGCGGTTTGGAGCCAGCGGTCCCAGATTGTGAGGGGGATGTCTGACTGCCGGCAGTTGGACATTCCCCGAGGCTTCCCAGATTGGAGAGGGTGCAGGCTGGGCTGAGGGACGCCCCCCTCTCATGCATGAATTTCATGCACCAGGCCTCTAATATTATATAAAGCTTTATTTTGCCTTTAATTTTAGAATAAATATTTTATCAAGATATAGATTTTTAGATTCTCAGATTCTCCTCTGTCACCCAGCATTTTAAACATGTCATTCCATTGTCTTCTGGATTCCATAGTTTATGTTGAATACTCAGCTGTAAGTTTTGCTTTTCCTTTGGTGGTTCGATGGTGATGTGTCCTTTTTCTCCCCTAGCTGTATTTAAGGTTTTCTTGTTTTATTTAATTTTCAGCATTTTACTGCTGGATGTGATTTTCTTTCATTTTTTCCATTCTTGGCTTGGCTATACTTCCTGAGTCAGTGAGTTAATGTATAGTTTCAGTTTTGGTGTATTCTTAGCTTTTTTTTTTCCTGAAAGTATTACTTCATCCTCATTCTCTCTCCTCTTCTCAACTACAGTTACATTGGGTTGTTTGATTCCCACATGTCTTTTATGTTTTCTTTTCCTCATTTTTTCTCTCTCTCTGTGCTTTAGTTAGATATTTTCTGCTGATCTCTTCAAGTTCACTAGCCTGCCTTTTGCAGTGTTGAGTCAGCTATAAAACTTACCCACTGATTTCTCAATTTCACATATGGTATTGTTCAGTTCTAAAATCAATATTTAATTCTTTTCATAGATTTAAATTACCTGTTGAATTTTTCTTCTTTTCTTCTATGAACACTTCCTGTGCCTTCTTTAACTTTTGTTAAATAGTTTTCTTAAACTTTTGTTAAAAAGTTTATCTTCAAAATCTGTATCATGTATAGGTCAGCTTATAGGTATTATTTTTTCTATTATTGATCATATTTTGTGGCCCTTCCCATGTTTCATAATTATTATTGTATACCAAATACTGTTTACATAGGATAATAAGATTGATGTAAATGTTATTTTCTTGCCTATATTAGAAAGAAATGATGAAGTGCTAATTACCTTAACTCAACCATGAATTGAGCTGGGTGACTTGAGTGACACCTTAAGATATACCTCGTACCTCTGGTTTTAAATGTCTTAAAAGCAAGACCTATTCTGTTGTGTGTATTTCTCTTTGGTGTGACTATACTTAATGAACTGTGACACTATGGGAGATATTGCTCTAACTTTTGGGTTTTGCCTCCTCTTTTTCATTCCCCACTCTTAAGGTAGGGTGCTTTTGGTTGAAAACAAATGTCTTGAGGGGAGACCTGTTGAAATTCTATACTATATAAGTGATAGGTGCTAACTGTTATAGTGTGACTTTGACTCCTAATCACTATAACACTACAGAAAACATTTCTGGCTCAGTCTGTCCTTTCCCAATCTATTCGTGTAGTCCAAGTCCTCAACAGATCTCCCAGGAGAAAACTGTCTGTGTTTGGAGAAATCCAAAAGGTTCCAATCTGTCATACCAGTGCATGAACCATAAAAAGCTATGCTGGTTTCTCTTTTCCTGGGTGGTGTCACTCTTTCTGAATCTTAGCTTGTGTATAAATGGCAAATCTCCCAGAAATGAAAGCAATCAAGAGTCCGAATTTACCTAAGAATAGATATTACTTTTCTCTTAATTTATTTATTTTACTACCATTGCTTTTCAGTATATTTAAAAATATGATTTGGGGAGATAATTTATCTTTTTTTTCTAGTTGTTGTGGAAGCAGTGACTTGCCACTATGTACTGGTAAATTAGTTTGTAAAAATAACAAAATTTTGACTCACAGGTTTACTCTTTTATATACTGCACTTTATATAAAGTTTGTGTGTTAATATTTGTTGCTAAATATACCAGGCTTAGAGATTGACCAATATTGCTATTTGGAAAAACTGTATCATGACAGACCATTTTGATTTCAAAATTTGTTTTGTCAGCAGTAATTTAAATGAAATGTAAACAAAAATTAATTTTCTTTTTCTTTCCCCCTTTCCTGTTTAGTGAGTGATAGTTGCTTCAGGAATCTTGCAGAAGATCGCAGTGGGATAAATCTCAAAGATCTCGTACAAGATCCTTCTTTGTGAGTATTGGCTTTTAGTATTAATTATAATTTAAAAGTTTATGGTTGGTGTGATTTTTTTCAAAAAAGTTGTGACAGAACTGCTTTAAGGTTGAGCAAAATTTTATTTTCTGATAATTTGTGTTACATATATTGAAACACATGGAACAGTTTAAACAGAGGTGAAGTTATGGAAAAATTACTTTTTAGAAATATAAGAGATTTTAGAAGACAGGATAGTGTTATGATTACTGATTGACTTTCAAGGGGTAGGGCTAATGGCTGATGATATCTTGCCAATATGGCAGTAGATACTAGGCAGGGAAGATGATTAGTAGTTTCTTTGCTTGGAAAGGTGAATTTATTTACATCAATTTTAAGCTTTTGTGAATAATTTATAAGCATAATTACAAATATGCATAAAATAATTCGTAATAACAATATGTAATAATTTACCATAACAATATACTTTTCATGTTTTACATAAGAGAGCTGTGTATAGCCCAAGATTTTTGAAGAATTTTAAAGGTTTTAATTTTTAATGTTCTTGTTCATGTGGCAATTCTTACTTTAATATAATGTCACTTTCTATTCCTTGAATTAATTTATTTTTGCAGTTGTATATTTACTGGGAATTGTGTATACTATTTTCTATATGAACATACCCTCCCAGATCACCTTTTATTGGGGAAAAAAAAAATCAAGACTAGTTAAGCCTTGGGCAGCAGAGAAAAGAAAATTGAGTGCTTAGCAGTGTTTTCTTTCAACTATTTTTCTTAATCTCTCTTTTTTCCTAATCAAAAGGATTTCCCATATTCTTTCTTCAGGGTGTTTATTCCAATGAAGACTGACAGTTGTCCTTTCAGTCCTATAAATAATTAAGAATATAATTAGTATATGTGAATATAAATATTCCTAGTCAATGTTGAGTAATATTTATTTAAACAAATCAATTAAATCCATTATTATTTATAAGTTGTATTTTTGTGTAATAGGATTATATATCTGTTTAATGCAATATTTGTGGAAAATAATATGCTCCTGTGGAATTTATCGATATAAAAGCTGTGGAGAATTATACTTCAGCTAGAGGCCCAAAGCACGAAATTTGTGCAGGTGACTTGGCCCTGGCCCCCACCCACTGCCACTGTAGCCGGGGGCCTCTGCTGCCTTGGCTGCCTCTGCTGCAGCCCCCCACCCGCTGCAGCTTTGTCCAGAAGGAAGGACGTCCAGTATAATTAGCATATTATGCTTTTATTATTATAGATAGTAGATTAAAATAATGAATAATAGTGTTTTGAGAGAAATTGGTACTTCTTTCCAGAATGTAGAATATTTATCATGTAACCTGTAACTAAATTCTAAATCTAACCTTAGTATTTTAAGAAAAAATTAGATCACTACTGCATTGAATGGACAAAATAATTTTGAGTTTTCTGTTTGAAAATACCCAGATACTATCTTAATTCAGAATTATTTTCTTAACTTGGCATTAGCCTAGAATGTAAGAATTTAGTGAAGCTCGGTCAGTGTGGCTCAATAGTTGATCATCAACCTATGAACCAGAAGGTCATGGTTCGATTCCCTAAGAGGGCACATGCAGACTTAATCCCCACTGTGGGGCATGCAGGATGCAGCTGATCAATGATTCTCTCTCATCATTGATGTTTCTATCTCTCATACCCTCTCGCTTCCTCTCTGAAATCAACAAAAATTGTATTTAAAAAAAGAGAATTTAGGGGAAAATACTTTTTTATTTTGCCTTTGCCACTTGGATTTGGAAAGAACTTTTTCTTTAAGATTTATGTAAGTCTTTCAAAACTCAGGAAGAATAAAAAAAAAACAAACAAACCTGAATAGGCCGATAACTACCGATGAAATTGAAGCGGTACTCAAAAAACTTCCAGCAAACAAAAGCCCTGGTTTGGCTGGCTTCACAGGGGAGTTTTACCAAACATTCAAAGAAGAACTAAAACCTATCCTCCTCAGATTATTCCAAAAAATTCAAGAGGAAGGCACACTTCCAAGCTCTTAGCTAGTATTATCCTAATCCCAAATCCAGATAAAGACACTACAAAGAAAGAATTACAGGCCAATATCCCTGATGAACATAGATGATAAAATCCTCAACCAAATTCTAGCAAATCGGATCCAGCATTATGATCATACACCATGACCAAGTGTGATTTACTCCAGGGCTGCAAGGCTGGTAAAATATCCGCAAATCAATAAATGTGATCATCACATAAACAAATTGAGAGACAAAAATCACATAATCATATCAATTGATGCAGAAAAAGCATTTGACAGAATCCAACACCCTTTCTTGATAAAAACTCTCAGCAAAGTGGGAATAGAGGGATCGTACCTCAACATAATAAGAGTCTTATATGACAAACCTACAGCCAACATCATACTCAATGGGCAAAAAGTAAAACCGTTTCCCCTAAGAATAGGAACAAGACAGGGATTCCCACTTTCACCACTCCTGTTCGACATAGTACTAGAAGTGCTAGCCTTAGCCATCAGACAAGAAGAAGAAATAAAAGACATCCAAACTGGAAAAGAAAAAGTAAAACCATCATTATTCACAGATGACATGATATTATACATAGAAAATCCTAAAGACTCCATCAAAAAAGCCACTAGACTTAATAAATATATTCGATAATGAGCTGGATAGAAAATTAACACCCAGAATCTATGGCCTTTTTATACACCAATAATGAAATCACAGAAAGAAACCAAAAACAATCTCATTTACCACTGCACAAAAAAAAATTAAGATACCTAGGATAAACTTAACTAAGGAGGTAAAAGACCTGTACTTGGAAAACTACAGGACATTGAAGAAAAAGGTAGACATTGCCGAAACCGGTTTGGCTCAGTGGATAGAGCGTCGGCCTGCGGACTGAAAGGTCCCGGGTTCGATTCCGGTCAAGGGCATGTGCCTGGGTTGCAGGCACATCCCCAGTGGGAGATGTGCAGGAGGCAGCTGATCGATGTTTCTCTCTCATTGATGTTTCTGGCTCTCTGTCTCTCTCCCTTCCTCTCTGTAAAAACTCAATAAAATACATATAAAAAAATTTAAAAAAGAAAAAGGTAGACATAAACAAATGGCAGAATATACTGTGTTCATGGATTGGTAGAATCAACATCATTAAAATGTCCATACTACCCAAAGCAATCTACGGATTCAATGCAATCCCCATTTAAATACCAATGGCATACTTCAAAGATCTAGAACAAACTCTCCAAAAATTCATGTAGAGTAAAAAAAGACCCCGAATAGCTGTAGCAATCTTAAGAAGAACAATGTTGGAGAGATCACAATACCAGATATCAAGCTATATTTCCAAGCCACGGTTCTCAAAACTGCCTGGTACTGGCACAAGAACAGACATACAGACCAATGGAACTGAACAGAAAACCCAAAAATTGCCCCAAGCCATTATGCTCAATTAATATTGACAAAGGAGTCAAGAGCATACAATGGAGTCAAGGACAGTCTCTTCAATAAATGGTGTTGGGAAAATTGGACAGATACATGCAAAACAACGAAACCAGACCACCGACTTAAAACATACACAAAAATAAACTCAAAATGGATAAAAGGACTTAAACGAAAGATGGTGAACCATAAAAATCTTAGAAGAAGCCATAGGCAACAAAATATCAGACATATGTCGTAGCAATATCTTTACCGATACAGCTCCTAGGGCAATTGAAACTAAGGAGAAAATAAACAAATGGGACTATATCAAAATAAAAAGCTTCTGCACAGAGAAAGAAACCATCAACAAAACAACAAGAAAGCCCACTGCAGGGGAGAACATATTTTCCAATGTTATCTTCGATAAAGGTTTAATCTCCAAAATTTATAGGCAACTCATTCAATTTAACAAAAGAAAGATAATCCAATCAAAAAAATGGGCAAAGGACCTAAATAGACTCTTTAGAAAGCATACATACAGAAGGGCAAGAGACATATGAAAACATGCTCAGTCACTAATCATCTGAGAGATGCAAATCAAAAGTGACAAATTCATATTGTTAATCTGATGCAACTACTGGAATAGTATGATAGACCCTCTGTAATTTATTCAAACTGTATATAATATACATGCCAAGATTTCTTTTTATTGTAGTAAATTAATTATTGGGCTTGAATGAATTGAGTGAACATATGAAGGAGAGACGCTTTGGAAGAAGAGAAAGTTGTGAATTTCTAAGCAAGACTTTCTAGACTTGGGGAGTTCTGGTCAAGTTGGTAGCATGAGTGAATGAGGTACTTGGAAACTCCCACAATCACATCAAAATTATAACTAAACTACAGAACAAGAATCAATCAGTACCACCTGAAATCTAGTAAACAGAAGTCCTAAACTAAGGACATAAAGAAGCAGCCACATTGAGACTGGTAGACATGGAAAGGGCTGATCCCACACACATGTCTGGTAGTAAAAAATTGGTAGGGATATCGAGGCTATCGAGGTTCCCCTCTGAAGAGCCAGGGGTCCCAGCTCCACACCAGAACCCCCAGTCCAGGATTTCAGTGCTGGAAAGAGAAATCCCTATAACATATGACTGTAAAAACTAGTCTGGATGGTGACTGCATGAGATGGAGAGCTTCTGGAGCCCCAGGCACTCCTCTTAAAGGGCCTGAGCACAGACTTACTTGGACTCACTCTATCTGAGCTGTAGCACCACGGGGGCAGCAGCTTGAAAGGCATCAGAACATATGGGGAGGAACAGAATTATCTGGCTTCAGGCCCAGGGCTGGAGGGGCAGTTTTCTGCCAGGCAAAAATGCTGGCAGAGGCCATTGTTCTTTTGCCAACCCCTCCGCCCACAGAACTGACAGGTGCTATATCTGTCTCTCCATCAATCTCGCTAACACTGTTGCCACCCTGGTGATGCCCTTAAACCCACTCCATTCAATTTGTAGGCTCACCCAAGGTTTTTCCAGTGGCTTTTTCATACAAATGGCCTCTCTTGGCTCACGCTTCCAACTTAACTAAA